AACCGAAAGATCCAGTCCAGAAAAAGTCCAGTCCAAGTAATAATAAAGTACCGGTCCAAGTAATAATAAAGTACCGGACACCCCATCCCAGGATTGGACACCTTTGCCTAGGATCGACACACAAGGTAACCGGATTAATCCGGACACCCCGTCCCAGGATTGGACACCTTTGCCTAGGATCGACACACAAGGTAACCGGATTATTCTTAGCTCGTTTCTTGTATTATAACCTTTCTTCAACCAAAATTCATTAGTGGACTGATATGAGAGGTCGGGGGGAATCCTGTATTCACAACATTGTAAGTAGACTTTGACGTGGCTTTTGCTGAGCCTGGTGTTTTGCATCATCTATTAAGGCTAGTGGTGGATATCCCCTTGCGTTTGTAGGGAGTATCCACTAGCCTTAATAGATAAAGCAAAACATCAGGCTTAGCAAAGACCACGTGAAGATCTATTTACAATGTTGTGAATATAGGATTTTTCCCTGACCTCTCATATCAGTCCACTAATGAATTTCGGCTAAAGAAAAGTTATAATACCAGAAACGAGCTAAGAATAATCCGGACACCCCGTCCCAGGATTGGACACCTTTGCCTAGGATCGACACCTTCCAGGATTGGATAGCTTTTAGACTGGTACTTCAATATTACTTGGACTGGACTCTTTCTGGACTGGATCTTTTGGTTTGAATAGATTTCATTTATTGTATAGGGATACTTATACTTGGATTTATTGCCTACATATATGAAAGTGTTATGACAAGATAAACGTTTTGGCAAAAATTCTTATATATGAAAGTGTTGTGACAAGATAAAAGAAAACGAGACTTTTCACGTATTCTAGAAAAGGATTTATTGAGACATTTCACGTTAAAGTTTTTTGCATTAATATTTAGATAAGAAAACGAGACTTTTCACATATTCTAGAAAATGCTTTATTGAGACATTTCACGTTAAAGTTTTCTGCATTTCATATCATAGCTTCTTGTTCTCAGTGTTTTTCAAGCATGGCATGGCAAAGAAGACAGAAATGGGCAGGCAAGTGTGCCAGAACTGTCCAGACTGTTCTTTCAAGGCTTAGGAAGGAAACGTATAACCTTTACAAGCAGATCCAATTAGCCCTGAAATTGACTAGCAACCACCCACCCAAGGGGCTCCTTCCTGAACGTGATTTTTCAAGGATAACCCTTACTGTCATTCTCCCTGCTTTCCTGGCTTTCCGCAAAATATGCAAAATTGAATTATGCAAGAGGGTTTTTCTACGCAGGCAATGATTCACACAGTTACCTGGATAAATTATTAAGGACTGTGGTCTATACTACTCAGGGGTCATTTCGTAGAAAAAGAGCTAGGGGAACTCATTAGCATAACTCATTAGCATATGCCACACCCCCTGACATCAGGGGCCCGGCGGTGGACCTGCAAGGCCAGCGGGAGTGCAAGGAAGCCCCGCCAAGGCCCTCCCTGGCCCCAGGCAGGCAGGGGTGGGGAGAGGCGGGTAGGAAGCAACTTACCCTCCCTCTTCTCCTGCCTCCTCCTGGCTAAATGAGGGCTGGAAGCGGGGCGGCCGGAAGCAGGGGCGGGGCTTCGTCATGTGCCCCGCCCCCCTGCACCTCACCCAGGGGAACTGTGTTCCCCCGCGTTTCCCCCCCCGAAATGACCTCTGATACTACTGCGTGTAGCTTACTAAAACTAGGATCCTACTATGTAATTTTTGCACCATTTAATGTGTCATGCTGACACACCTTGGCTTCAGTTCTGTTTTTTAGATTTCTGATTGGTTCCACAACCCTAAGCATACTGTACTGTTTATTGAATGTCCCCTCCTGTTGATTGTATTGACTCTATCTGTTGTAACCCGCCTTGAGTCCCGGCGAGAAAGGTAGACTACAAATAACATAAATTGAAAGAAAAGTTCTCAAACAAGAGTGCCATCACATTCAGCTGGGTAGCCGTGTTGGCCTGAAGCTACAGAACAAGTCTGAGTCCAGTGGCACCTTTAAGAATGACAGGGTTTCATTCTGAGTAGAAGCGAAAACTGTGTAGTAGTCACTACCAATGCTCCCTCTAAGCTGTGGGGTCTCGTGAGCAAAAACTGCACTTTGTGAGCTACCGGCGTTAAAAGTTATGAGCGAGCGATTTGGCTGCTGCATAAATTAGTTTGCTCTGGAGCCCGCCTTTCGGAGCGAAGGCAAAAATGTGAGAGCCGGAGGCTAGAAAACTGTGAGCTGGCTCACACTAACTCAGCTTAGAGGGAACACTGGTCACTACACATCACTCAGTTCTCGCTTCTACCCAGAAATAAACTTTCTCGATCTTAAAGGTGCCACTGGACTCAAACTTTTGTTCTCACATCTGTTTGTTAACTCTTTTATTATCACATCTGTTTGTTAACTCTTTTATTATCTGCTGCTATTCACAGGTCTTACCAACTTCTTTAACTTAATCTCGGCTATACCTATCGCTCAGTTACTTATGCCTCTTGGCTCTGATTAGCCCTTCTTGGCAACTAACCCCCCCCCCCACCCATATATAGGGCTTGAGGAAGTCTTGTTTCAATGTATCTGAATAAGTGTGCATGCGCACGAAAGCCTATACCCAGAATCAAACTTTGAGAGTGCCGTTAGTTATTCTATATCGCTTCCGCAATATTCCTGCTTCAGCTTTTTCCTCCTGGTTACAAACTCTGCAAAAAGCAAACCGGAAGCAAGCGGGCTTGGGGGAAATAGCAATTGCCCACCAATGGGTACCCAACTGGAAAACCTGAGCCACACCAAGCCGGAAGTACAAAACTCATATTGTCACCCCCTGATGTAAGAGTAACCAGGGACTGGCTGTTACCATTTCAGGTAGCTCTGTTTCTGCCTTTGGGGAAGGGGCCGTAGCTCGGGGCACAGCCCCAGCATCTCTAGGTTAAAGGATGAGGTGGTAGGTGATGTGAAAGAACTCTACCTGAGACCCTGGAGAGCGGCTGCCGGTCTGACCAGGCAAGACTAACCTGTAGAGAGCAACAATCTAAGGCAGCTTCATGTGTTCTGCCTTGAGCGCTACTGGCCCTTTAAGGCAGGCAGAGCCAGGAGCAAAACAGCAGAACAGTGACCTCTGCTGGAGGTGGTGGGAATTTCTACGTCTCGCTTCAGTTCAAAGGACAAACACGGTACTGCTTTGGGTGACAGTGGGAGAAGAGAGAGTAATTAAAATGTGGAATTCACTGTCGGAGGATGTAGTGCTGGCCACAAGAATTTTGTTGTTCAGTCGCACAGTCAAGTCCGACTCTTTGCGACCCCATGGACCAGCCACAGGAATAGACAGCTTTAAAAGGGGATCTGATTGATTGATAATTTCAATTTATATACCACCCTTCCCTGAGTTCACAGGCCTCGGGGTGGTTGACAACAACAGAAAAATACAATATACAAACAAGAATAAAACAATTAAAATTAAAAGAACATCCAATGGCGCCAAAGTAGTTACAATATGTGTTACTGTCCCGCAAGCAGGAGAAAGCAAGATTGAGGGGGGGTGGGGGGGAGTGCCAGATAAGATGGTACCCATCGCTGTCCTCAACAAAAAAACCTGGCGGAACATCTCTGCCTTACATGCCCTGTGGAACTGCATAAGGTCCTGCAGGGTACAGATGTTATTTGGCAGAAAGTTCCACCAGGAAGGAGCTGGTCGAGGACAGCCGGACGTCTTTAGGGCTAGGGACCACCGGTAAATTATTTCCAGCAGAACGCGAAACTCTTCGGGGAACATACCAAAGGAGGCAGTCCCAAAGATACGGGAGACATGGAGGACAGGTCTATCACTAGCTACTAGTCATGGTGAATAACGGGAACTTCCACGTTCAGAGGCAATCAGTCTCTGAATCACAGAACCAGGAGGCAACCTCAGGGGAAGGCCTCGGCCTCTCTGCCCTGTTGTCGGCCCTCCAGAGGAACTGGCTGGCCCCTGTGTGAGACAGGAGGCTGGACTAGATGGACCCTCACTGGTCTGATCCAGCAGGGCTCTTCTGAGGTTCTTCTCAGGGGAAGGCCTCGGCCTCTCTGCCCTGTTGTCGGCCCTCCAGAGGAACTGGCTGGCCCCTGTGTGAGACAGGAGGCTGGACTAGATGGACCCTCACTGGTCTGATCCAGCAGGGCTCTTCTGAGGTTCTTCTCAGGGGAAGGCCTCGGCCTCTCTGCCCTGTTGTCGGCCCTCCAGAGGAACTGGCTGGCCCCTGTGTGAGACAGGAGGCTGGACTAGATGGACCCTCACTGGTCTGATCCAGCAGGGCTCTTCTGAGGTTCTTCTCAGGGGAAGGCCTCGGCCTCTCTGCCCTGTTGTCGGCCCTCCAGAGGAACTGGCTGGCCCCTGTGTGAGACAGGAGGCTGGACTAGATGGACCCTCACTGGTCTGATCCAGCAGGGCTCTTCTGAGGTTCTTCTCAGGGGAAGGCCTCGGCCTCTCTGCCCTGTTGTCGGCCCTCCAGAGGAACTGGCTGGCCCCTGTGTGAGACAGGAGGCTGGACTAGATGGACCCTCACTGGTCTGATCCAGCAGGGCTCTTCTGAGGTTCTTCTCAGGGGAAGGCCTCGGCCTCTCTGCCCTGTTGTCGGCCCTCCAGAGGAACTGGCTGGCCCCTGTGTGAGACAGGAGGCTGGACTAGATGGACCCTCACTGGTCTGATCCAGCAGGGCTCTTCTGAGGTTCTTCTCAGGGGAAGGCCTCGGCCTCTCTGCCCTGTTGTCGGCCCTCCAGAGGAACTGGCTGGCCCCTGTGTGAGACAGGAGGCTGGACTAGATGGACCCTCACTGGTCTGATCCAGCAGGGCTCTTCTGGTGTTCTTAAGAGCAGAAAAGTGGGAAGAGATGACCAGAGGAACCCCTTCTGAAGCATTAATAGAGATCCTGCAACAAAGCATCCGGCAGTTAGCCGAGTCCCCAGTTAGAACTACGTTTCGTATTCATGCACCAGCTTCCGTGAGCGACGAGGTTCAATTCCACGTCTGAAAAGTGCTTACCTATATCGTACGCCATAAAATCGGAAGAAAAGCATTTGGCACCGTGGCTCATCGACGTGTCGTTGTGGGTGTTCCCTCCAAACACCAGCATGGTTCCACTAATAATCACAGCGGAATGCAAATATCGGGAAAACTTGCTGTCTTTAAGAATCGTCCTGTGGAAATTTAAAGGGGGGAGGAAGGAGAATGGGTTTCAAACACTACCATCTCCTTAACCATGCGGGGTAAACAGCATCTGCAAGGGGCTAAGCCTCTGGAAGGGGGATGAAAAGATCGGGGTCCGACCCCATTTCAGAGATAACGCAGCACGGGATTATAAAGGCCTCTGGGTCAACCTCCAAGCTGCTTAAAACCACCAGCTGGCCCAACTAAGCCCTTACCTGTAATAGTTTTTACCCGTAAGGACATTTGTCCCTACAAGAAACGAGGCCCAACGAGTGTCCCGCCGTGTCAGGGGGTCCCCAACTTTTTTGAGCCTGCAGGCACATTTGGAATTCTGACACAGCACGGTCACCACAAAATGGCCGCCACCAGGAGGCGGAGCCAGACACAAAATGGCTGCCACAGTTTAACTTCAGTCACACAGTGCAGATTCTTGTGCTGTGGGGGCAGCTGCTGCCAAAGCAACTTTTATTTTATTTGTTTATATACCGCCCTCCCCAATGGAGGGCGGTATATAAATCTAATAAAATTAATCTGCACAACCAATCATATCACCAGTCATCAGAAGCCTTCCTGGGTAAAAGCCCCACCTGGCCCCAACCGCTTCCTAAAAACACTTAGTAGGCACCAGAAAAGCTGTCAACGGACCCAGGGGCACCCACGGGCATCGCATTGGGGACCCCCTCTTCTATGTCCATGTCTCACGCAGCCGCTCAAATTCTTTCAACGCTTTTGTGTATGGGTTTTAATACAATATGTTGTCGAAGGCTTTCGCGGCCAGAGTTCATTAGTGGTTGTAGACAGGGCTATTTTGGGGCAGGAACGCACAGGAACGGAGTTCCGGCTGGCTCCTGAGTTGGCCACGCCCAGCAGGAACTCATTAGCATAATAGGCCACACCCAACAGCAGGAACTAATTAGGATTGGCTACATTGGGGGGGTGTGGCCTAACATGCAAAGGCTTTTAAAAAGCCCTGGGTTTTGACAACAAACAAGGTAAACAGAATAACAAGCAAAAGGTGGGTGTGGCTGGATGACCACACTTCTGGTAACATGGTGGTGTGGCCTAATGGGCTAATGAGTGGTGCTGTCAGGGTGTGGCCTAATATGCTAATGAGTTCTTGCTGTTGGGTGTAGCCTATTACGCTGATGCTTTTTCTACAAAAAGAGCCCTGGTTGTAGATGTTCCGGGCTGTATGGCTGTGGTCTTTGCATTGCAGGACCTGATGTTTCGCCAGCAGCTGGGACTGGCATCCTCAGAGGTATGAACTCAGAAAGATGGACTACTCTCTGTGTCAAGGTGAGAAGAAAAATGGTACGCGGGTAATTTGTATCTACTCAGGAAGGCGGGGTAGGGCTGAGGCGTTATCCTGTCGGAGTCCCCCAGGCTGTGAACATGCTAACGGAGGAGCTTTCCTGAGGAGGTTCTTTTGCATATGGATTGCCTGTTGAAGTTCTAATCTTGCCTGTAGTGCTATTGTAAGATGTAGAGCATTTTGTGTTTTTCAGGACAGGAAACCGTGCCCCATTCATTTTTCAACTCGCTTTCTTTCCTGTTGAAATTGTGTTTACGTTTATGAATTTCAATGGCTTCCCTGTGTAATCTGACATGGTAATTGGGTGTGTTGTCCGGCCTTTCAGTGTCTAGGAACAAAATACTGTGTCCTGTTTGAGTTAGGCGATGTTCAGCCACTGCTGATTTTTCACGTTGGCCCAGTCTACAGTTTCTTTCATGTTCTTTTATTCCTGTCTGAATGCAGTGCAGAAAATCCTTGGGGGGGGGGGGAGATGGGTGCCCACTGTGATGTTGCTCCTCTGGCCAAGTCTCTTAGCAGGATTGTTTCCCCGGCTCAAGAATTTACATAGGATCCTACCTACGTTTTGGCTAGCCTGCTGGCCCAACTGGACAATACGGATGCAGGCACCAGTGTCACAATCAGTTGCTGCACAATCTCTGCAAAATGGGATGGGGATGACCTAAAGGGCATTAGAGGCAGGTGGGGGAGATGAACTGTGCTTCAACCAGTACTTCCCCCCACCCCCAAACAGCACACCTAGCATGGGTCCAACGTCAGAAGTGTCGCCTGTCAAGAGAAGAACATGTGGTGGGAAGTAAGGGGTCTGGGCAACAGAGAGGTTTACCCACCCTCTTCCACTCACCCCTAACATGCTTTAAATCACCCATCATGTGTACTTCAGCCCTAAGAGCCCACTTTAAATATTATACAAATATGAACAGGGAACCTGCAAGGACTTGTGGCGGTGTACCTCATTTTCCCTTGTATCTACCCTCCTTACACTATTGTCAGGATCTGGGCTGTGCCACCAGAGGCCTACTAGGCCCAGGTAGCCTGGCTAGCAGTAGGCGAGGCTGGGCCTACAACTCCCAGAAGCCCCTGAGAGGTTTTGGAGCCAAAATTGACCAATAGGAAAAGAGGAGGGCTTGGAATAAAAGATCTGGTGCAGCAGGAAAAGTTGTTCTTTTTCCCTGAGGGCAGAGCCAGAAGGAAGGCTGCTGTGGGAAGAGACCCTCTTCCTGAGGGAAGGGTGAGTGGTCTAGTGTCACTTGGAATAGTGAGCTAGGGAGAGTATATATTTAGACGCGTTAGGGCTTTTGATTTATTTTCTTTTCACCCACTTAGTGTTATTATTCTGCACCTTGTTGTTTGACCTCCTATAAAATAAACCTTTTCCTTGTTTCACTCTGCCTGCTCCTAACGCCTGTTATTTGGCCAAAAGGGAGGTCTGAAGGTCTTGGGAGGGTGCTCTGGGCCTTCTCAAGGGAACCTAAATCCAGAGTGGTGGCAGCGTCAAGTGACACCCCACTTGAGCCATGACAACTATCTGTACTTTTCCTCCCATGGAAACCCCCAGAGCTTTCCACCCTTTCCCTCCTTCTCCCCCACCCAACAACCTCTCTTCTATCTCCCCCATCAATCTAGGCTATATCTATTACTTATTAGAATGGGGAACCCAAAGCAGCTTATATAATTCTCCTCGCCTCCATATTATTCTCGCTTATTCTCTGGCTGAATATTTTTTCTTGAGGGGCCCAAGGTCACCGAGTGAGCTTCCACAGCAAAGTGATGATTCGAACCTGGGTCTCCAAGATCCTAGTCTGAAGTCCTAACCATGACAGCACACTTGTTTTCGTGGGGTGGCTGCTGTTGAACAGTGGCAAGCAACCAGTCCTGCAAGACACATGGTATCAAGTCACCTGGTGGTTGCCACAGGGGCCTGGCCCTCATTAGTCCCTCCTCAAAGGCCAAAGCAGCCCTGGAAAGGGCTCTGCCCCACCCCCTTTCCTGACAGAAACCAATGCTTGAACACTGGCAATACTGTTGTGGTTGCCTAGCAACAGACACTGAAAGGATCTGTTTCTTAAAAGTACAGGCACTGTTACCATCTGTGGGGTTAACCCTCCCCCATTGTGTGGTTGTTGTTGTTTTTTAAAGATTTCAGCTTTTTCTGCAAACCTGGGGCTTTTCTCAGGTTTGTAGAAAGATCTGTCTTGTTCAGCCACGGTGCCAGTCCCTGACTTTAGGTATCCACGGATTTGGCCATGATGAGAATTAGAAGAAGAATTAGAATTAGAAGAAGAAGAAGAGGAGGAGGAGGAGATTGGATTTATACCCCGCCCTTCACTACCCAAAGGAGTCTCAGAGCGGCTTACAAACTCCTTTCCCTTCCCCCTCCCCACAACAGACACCCTGTGAGGTAGCAGAAGAAGAAGAAGAGATTGGATTTATACCCCGCCCTTCACTACCCGAAGGTGTCTCAGCGCGGCTTACAAACTCCTTTCCCTTCCCCTCCCCACAACAGACACCCTGTGAAGTCGGCAGGGCTGAGAGAGCTCTGACAGAAACTGCTCTGTTTCAAGAACAGCTCCTATCAGAGCTACGGCTTGCCCAAGGTCATCCAGCAGCTGCAAGTGGAGGAGTGGGGAATCAAACCCGGTTCTCCCAGATTAGAATCCACGCATTTAACCACTACACCAAACTGGCTCTCTTAGATATTAGATACATTGGTGGTGAGGATAAACGTGTGTCCAATTTTTTTAAAGGCATATTTACCCTTCTGTTACAAATATTTACCCGGTCTGCTTTAAAATCCACTTTTTTACAAGACGACAGTCTGACGGTTAAGAACACATCTTATAAAATGTTTGTTCTTGTTATCCCCGCGCAAACCCCTGAGCGTTAAAAACGCCAGTTAATTCAACGGTTGTCCCCAACCGTTCTTGGCCAGTCACGAAGAGGGGGGCTCGCGGCGTCTCTCTGTTTACGAGCTACATCTAATTCTCAGTGTGGTCAACCCGTTCCAAAGTGTTTATCTCTGGTGGGCAGACTCTTTCAGACCCCCTGCCACGACTGAGAAAAAGGCCCAAAAGTACATCGCCACAACATTCATTCCAGCAACCGTGCTCTCCCACCGAGACGTTTCCAATTTTATCGTCCAATTTAATTCCGTTCGCAACAGCCTCACCCCAGCTCACGCGCCACTAGTCTTCAGTTGGTCACTTCAGGCTATAAGCTCTGAATTTAGAAAAAGAAACTCACTCGCTCTCACTCTCTCACTCTCGCTATACACCTACCAAGTGTGACTGTTAATTTCAAACTTGTATAAATCGTCCGTCAGCCTGTACTTGTTCGCGGTGAACGCCTTGTAGCCACCGTGGGTGTAGATGGACCTGGTGCTCGGATCGTACACGCTGCTGTGGCCGTACCCTCCTTGCACTAAAGCGCCTTCCGTCTGCAAAATACTCCACGTGTTCGTGGCTGAGAGAGAAAGACGGGCAAATGTGAAGCGGCCGTGCTCGGCAATCGGAGGAGTTTTACAATCCCACACCAGCGACCTTCTCTCTCTCTCTCTCTCTTTTTAATTTATTTTCCATTTTTCCATTTTACAACCACCACCACATAATCGCTGTGTTTTACATTTTTTAACATACGTTAAAGACAGATAAACAACTTTGATCCTTCTTGGTGCTTGGGGGGGGGGGGTCAACAGTGGGAGGGCTTCTAATGTCCTGGCCCCACTGCTGGACCTCCTGATGGCACGTGGTATTTCTGGCCACTGTGTGACACAGAGTGTTGGACTGGATGGGCCTTTGGCCTGATCCAACATTGGCGTCTCTTATGTTCTTATGTTCTTAAGTAATAAAGTACTAGCATTTCCCTCCTTTATTGTCTAAGTTTTACCTATCTTTAGCCAGTCATATACTATACCCCATCTTTCCCAAAAAGTCTCTTCTGGTTTATTTTTTAAAAACATATTCAACTTATCCATCCCTGCAATTACCAGCGACCTTCTCTCAACGGGTACAGGGCGGGATCCTGAGGATACATTCCGGTAGTAGGGTAGAGGAACCCTTCCCCCGATGCAAGACGGTCGTAGAAACCGTACAGCTGGAAGAGTCCTTGAGGGTCATCTAGTCCAACCCACTGCACGACGCAGGAAATTAATAACCACATCTTCCCCCCCCTCCCCCAGTGACTCCTGCTCCATGCCCAGAAGAAGGCAAAAACCACCAGGATGCCCTGGGCCAATCTGGCCTGGAGGAAAATGCCTTCCTAACCAATGTTCCCTCTAAGCTATGGAGTCCTCTGAGCAAAAATTCTACTTTGTGAGCTACTGGCATTACAGTTGTGAGCAGGTAGTTTGGCTACTGCATCAATTCGTTTGCTCTGGAGCCCCTCCTTCCTGAGCCGAGACAAAAAATGTGTGAGCCGGAGGCTAAAAAACTGTGAGCTGGCTCACACAAACTCAGCTTAGAGGGAACACTGTTCCTGACCCCAAAGTGGCAACTGGCATTACCCTGAGCCAGTAAGAAAGGGCCGCAAGAGCCAAGCACTGAGGCAACCCTTCCTGCCCTCCCTCTCGTGATCTGCTGAATTCAGAAAATCAGCCTTGCTGTCAGGTGGGCACCTGGCCTCTGCTTGAAAACCTCCACAGGAGGAGAGCCCACCACCTCCCGAGGAAGCCTGGATGTCGTGAGGGCCACAGAAATAAACAACTTGAAAAGGGGATGAGACAGATTCACGGAGGTTAAGTCTATCAATGGCTCCTAGTCACGGTGAGTGAGGGGAACCTCCATATTCGGAGGCATGAAGCCTCTGAATCCCAGAGCCAGGAGGCAACACCGGGGGAAGGCCTCAGCTTCCGTGGCATGTTGTTGGCCCTCCAGAGGAACTGCTTGGCCCCTGTGTGAGACAGGATGCTGGACTAGAGGGACCCTCACTGGTCTGATCCTGCAGGGCATGGAGGCTGAGGCCTTCCCCTGATGTTGCCTCCTGGCTCTGGGATTCAGAGGCTTCGTGCCCCTGAACGTGGAGGTTCCCCTCAGTCACCCCTCAGTCGCCACTGACAGACTTCATGAATCTGTCTAATGCCCTTTGAAAGCTGTCTGTGCCGGTCGTCATCACGACATACCCTGGCAGCGAATTCCACATTTTCATCACTCACTGTGTAAAGAAGTGTATCCTTTTGTCCACCCTGAATCTACTGCCCATCGGCTTCGTGAGATGTCCTCGAATTCCAGGGTTTTTTGAGAAAGGGGGGGGGGGGGGTTCTTTTTGTCAAACCCCCCCCCCCTCCATGTATGGCACCAGATAAGCCGACCAATGCTCCCTCTAAGCTGTGGAGTCCTGTGAGCAAGAACTCTACTTTGTGAGCGACTGGCATTAAAGCTGTGAGCGAGCGATTGGGCTGCTGCATAAATCCGTTTGCTCTGGAGCCCTCCTTCCTGAGCTGAGACAAAAGTGTGTGAGCCGGAGGCTAAAAAACTGTGAGCTAGCTCACACTAACTCAGCTTAGAGGGAACACTGGAGGAGACCCAAGCCAGGGTAAATGTGATGTAGGCTAATAGCACACGTGATGTTGCCATTAGAAGGGTCGAGGAGTTTTGGGACAGCACAAGGCCAAGACGCAGCCCCCGCTGGTCTCAGAAGTCCCCCTTTATGAAAGACGGATCGAGAGACGCCACCCAAAGAATACCTACCCAGGTTGTATTCCTGCACGCTGCTTATGTACCCGTAGAGAGCACAGTGCCCAAAGATGACCAGCATCACGATGCTGCCGTCGTCCCTCGTGACGATGTGTGCCGAATGGCCGACGACGGCATACTGCTCTTTGGCTTTGGGGAACTCTTGGACCCAGGACTGGTTTGCAATGTGGAAGACCCACAGCTCGCTGGTTACGTTCCCCGTTTCGTCTACCTTGCCTCCATACATGTAGATTTTATTCTGGGGGGAAAGAGTGGATTAAAATGTGACCCGACACCGGAACACTCAAGAGTATGAAGCGCAGCGGCAAACGCAAGACACAGTTGCGCGTACACACGTATTGTGCAGAAGACGAAGAAGAGACTGGATTTATACCCCACCCTTCACTCAAGTCTCAGAGTGTCTTACAAACTCCTTTCCCTTCCCCTCCCCACAACAGACACCCTGTGAGGTCGGTGGGGCTGAGAGAGCTCTTTACAGCTCAGCCAACAAAACTTGTTCCCCCCTGAACGTTGAGTTGCCTCTTACGGTAGGCCGAATGGCCCCATATCTATCAGGTATACAAGCACCACAACAAAATAGAGCCTTTTCTCTAGCAAGATTCAATGTAATTCCATCAGCAATCTTACATGGGAGATATAATAACACAGTATATGCAGATAGGCTTTGCTCCTACAATCCTGGATGTATTGAATCTGTTTCGCATATTTGTTTGCATTGCCAACATTATGTGGTTTTACGTGCTATATATTTAAATCCCATCCTAGCCAACATGACGAACCTCTCTGATGCCTTAAAAGTGCACCGTCTTCTAAATGACTCTGATCCAGAAATGTCAATGAACGTGGCCATGTTTTTACAATCAGTGATAAAACTACGTCAGGTAAATTTCCAATGAGTAAAAGTTTTACGCTACATTATGTTTTATGTTTGGCTTTAAAAGTATAATGTTTAAATGTATAATGTTTGGTTTTAAATGTATATTCCTTTTTATAGTAATCCTTTTAAGGTACTTTATGCCAATAAAGGTTAACTGAACCGAACCGAACTGCTCTTGAGAGAACAGCTCTGACAGAACTATGGCCTGCCCAAGGTCATCCAGCAGCTGCATGTGGAGGAGTGGGGAATCTGTCTTCAGGAACATTGTAGTGGTCTGCAGTGGGGGGATGGAGAAGGGCAGAAATTGCTGCCCATCTTCTCATGGAGGAAGCACCCTCAAACTATCAGAACTGCCATGCCTGGATACAAGCTCCTGTTTCTTAAGAGCTACACAGGAAGAATTTTGGCAGACCTGGTCCCCAAAGAAAGCCCCTCCGCACACCATTCTTCATAGAGGAGGGGGCTATGGCTCAGGGGTAGAGTATCTGCTTGACATGCAGAAGGTCCCAGGTTCAATCTCTGGTATCTCCAGTTACGAAAAATGATCAGGTAGTAAGGCGATGTAAAAGACTTTGCTTGAGACCCTGGAGAGCCAGTCTGAGTAGACAAGACTGATGCTGATGGTCCAAGGGTCTGACACGATATAAGGCAGTGTCATTTCAGAAGGGCCCATGGCTCAGTGGTAGAGCATCTGCTTAGCATGCAGAAGGACCCAGGTTCAATCCCTGGCATCTCCAGTTAAAAAGGACCAGGCAGTAGGTGATGGGAAAGGCCTCAGCCTGAGACCCTGGAGAGCTGCAAAGAGGGGGCTGTGGCTCAATGGCAGAGCATCGGCTTGGCATGCAGAAGGTCCCAGGTTCAATCCCCGGCATCTCCAGTTAAAAAGGACCAGGCAGTAGGTGATGGGAAAGGCCTCCGCCTGAGACCCTGGAGAACTGTAAAGAGGGGCTGTGGCTCAGTGGCAGAGCATCTGCTCGACATGCAGAAGGTCCCAGGTTCAATCCCCGGCATCTCCAGTTAAAAAGAGCAGGTAGTAGATGATGTGAAAGACCTTTCTTTGCCTGAGACCCTGGAGAGCCGCTCCTAATCTGAGCGGACAATTCTGACCTTGATGGACCAAAGGTCTGATCCAGTATAATGCAGTTTCCTGTGCGTTTCAATTTCGGGGAGGTGCTGTGGCTCAGTGGTAGAGCCTCTGCTTGGCTTGCACAAAGCCCCAGGTTTAGTCCCTGGCAATGCTCCCTCAAAACTGTGGAGTCTTGTGCGCAAAAATTCTACTTTGAAAGTTGTGGCATGAAAGTTGTGAGTGAGCGATCTGGCTGCTGCATAAATTAGTTTGCTCTGGAGCCCCTCCTTCCTGAGCTAAGAGAAAAAATGTGTGACCCGGAGGCTAAAAAAATGCGAGCTAGCTCACACTAACTCAGCTTAGAGGGAACACTGGCTCCCCGGCATCTCTAGTTAAAAGGCTCAAGGTAGTAGCTGATGGGAAAGACCTCTGCCTGAGACCCTGGAGAGCACGGAGAGGAGGAGGAGGAGGAGACTGGATTTATACCCTGCCCTACACTACCCGAAGGAGTCTCAGAGCGGCTTACAATTTCCTTTCCCTTCCCCTCCCTACAACAGACACCCTGGGAGGTAGGTGGGGCTGAGAGAGCTCTGAGAGAACTGCTCTTGAGTGAACAGCCCTGAGAGAACTTGTGACTGACCCACGGTCACACCAGCAGCTGCATATGAAGGAGTTGAGAATCGAACCTGGTTCTCCCAGGTATAGTCTGCACTCCTAACCATTACATCAAACTGACTCTCAGAGGGGCCGTGGCTCAGTGGTAAAGCATCTGCTTGGCATGCAGAAGGTCCCAGGTTCAATCCCCAGCATCTCCAGTTAAAAAGGACCTGGCAGGAGGTGATGGGAAAGATCTCTCTGCCTGAGATCCAGGAGAACTGTAAAGATGGGCTGTAGCTCAGTGGTAGAGCATCTGCTTGGCATGCAGAAGGTCCCAGTTTCAATCCCCGGCATCTCCAGTTAAAAGAGATCAGGTAGGAGGTGATGGGAAAGACCTGTCTGCCTGAGACCCTGGAGAGCCGCTGCCGGCCTGCGTAGACGATACTGACCTTGCTGGACCGAGGGTCTGATTCAGCAGAAGGACAGACTCACGTATCAATCCTGTAACCACTTAAAAGTTGTCTGCCCACCTTGATCTCCTGTTTGGCTTAACAGGGATGGGAACTGCTGCCACAACCTTGCAGGGTGTGTTTACCGCTTCTCCGGGGAGACAACGTTCACCCAAGACGGAGCCAGAAAACAAAAGAGTGTCGAGAACAAAAGCCACCTACTTCGTGCAGGGCCACCGAATGTCCGTATCTGATCCCTACGGCGTTCACGCTGCTGTTCAAAGGCAGCCATTCTTTGGTCACGAGGTCGTACCTGTGGAGCGGAGGGTAGCAAGACATATGGATGGGTACTTTGGCACTCGAGCATGCAGCTGGTATTCACACGCCTTGATACACGAGGCAGAACGTGGGAAACCGAGAGCGCACGCCCAAAAGGTGGTATGTAAACTAAAAACCTACAAATCAAACCGAAACAAATTCAGTAATGACAACATTGACAACTTTAACTACTGCTTTTGGAAGGGTGGAAGGGGCTGCGGGGGCTCAAGGGGTTAAGACGCTGAACTGCAGACTGGAAGGTCGAGAGTTCAGCAGTTTGAGACCCGGGGGCCTGCCAACCTAGCAGTTCGAAAGCAAGAAATTGAAAGTAGTTAAACAGGTACCGCTTTGGTGGGAAGGTCACGGCGTTCCGTGGGCCTCGGCATTTAGTCATGCCCAGGGGTCATTTCGTAGAAAAAGAGGTGCAGGAGCTCATTAGCATCACTCATTAGCATCACTCATTTGCGTATGCCACACCCCCTGACCTCACCCACCACTTAGGCGCCACTGGACTCTTTTGGAATGCTAGCTATTTGGGGGGGGGGAATGTGCAGATCTGTCCCCGCAGAGGAGGGAGAGCTTGTACCTGAATAAAACTTGGTCTTAAAGGTGCCACTGGACTGTTTTGGAATGCTAGCTATTTGGGGGGGGGGGGATGGGCAGATCTGTCCACTGGACTCTTTTGGAATGCTAGCTATTGGGGGGGGGGAATGTGCAGATCTGTCCCCGCAGAGGAGGGAGAGCTTGTACCTGAATAAAACTTGGTCTTAAAGGTGCCACTGGACTGTTTTGGAATGCTAGCTATTTGGGGGGGGGGGAATGTGCAGATCTGTCCCCGCAGAGGAGGGAGAGCTTGTACCTGAATAAAACTTGGTCTTAAAGGTGCCACTGGACTGTTTTGGGCCGGGGGGGAGCTCTGCAACTTACCTGGCTGCTTCTTGCTCTGACTGAGGGCTGCTGGGAGCAGGGGGTGGGGCTTGTTGCATGTGCCTGCCCCCCGGGCTCTTTACTGCCGGAGCTCCGCTCCTGTGCGCTCCTGCAGGAAATGACCCCTGCACATGACCACGGAAACATCACCGGACAGCGCTGGCTCTTCGGCTTGGAAACGGAGATGAGCACCACATCCCTAGAGTCTAATTCAACTGGCTTTCGAGCAAGGGAGACCTTTGCCTTTACCTTACCAAGATGGGTGGCTGATTCTCAGGACGTCCTGGGAGAGGATTCCCTGGCAGCAGAGTAAAACTGTGTTTAGGATCCCAGGGTAACGCGTTTAAGAGCACAATTACGCGAGTTCGCCCCGCCCACGGAGCCTGATCCCGTTCAAACCCTGAAAGGAAGAAAAAAAACTCTACACTTGACTCACGCCAAAACCATCTGGGCGTCCGTGTGATTGAACATGTAACCGCCAACCACCCACATGATGTCATCTTGGGCCACGGCTTTATGGGATGCTCTGGGAAGTTTGGGGATGTGGAATTCCTCCCGCGTCCAAAACGACGCGTTCGCCGGGACTGGGACTGAGCAGTCGGTACCTGGGAGGGAAAAGATGTAATCAGACATTATGAAAAGACAAGTTCTGTTTCACACAAGAGCTCCGCCACGGTCGCGCCTCCCTCTATGAGTCAATTTCCCACTCGAACCCACGCAGCCGCGTTTTGACCCGCGGCTTCGCCAGATTTTCCCCGCGGATTTGTGATCCTCCCAGGTCACAGTCTTGAAGGCGCTACTGGACTCTTGCTCTTTTTAACCAGCACGCAGATGCAAAACGCCCCTAAACCTATGCCACTCAAGCGTCAGGAAGTCTTAAATTGCAGCAGGGCACAACCGACCTTGCCAGCCGGAGTGACACTCGCACCCTTGGGTGCCGTTCCCGCTGCAGTGCCCTCTCTCCGGGAAACCGCAGTCGTCGGGGCAGTGTGGGACGTCGCAGGCGTCCCCCTTCCACTGCTTCATGCACTCGCATGCCACCACCTCGCTGCCGTTGCTGGGCCGGCACTGCCCCCGGCCCGAACAGTCCTGGGGACACACGTTGATGCTGAAAAGAAGCAGACGGGGTCAAGCTTCTCGCCTCCGGGTTCGGTGACAGAAAGAAAGGTTGATACTGAAATTTATTTATTTTATCAACGTACGGCATTTCTAGCCCACCTTCATCGCTTGGACGCAAGGCGGAATACGCAGAGGGTGTCAGCCACTGTTCCCTCTAAGCTGAGTTAGTGTGAGCTGGCTCACAGTTTCTTAGCCTCCGGCTCACACATTTTTTTGCCTTAGCTCAGGAAGGATGGCTCCAGTGCAAACTAATTTATGCAGTAACCAAATCACCTGCTCACAACTTTAATGCCAGTAGCTCACAAAGTAGAATTTTTGCTCAAAGGACTCCACAGCTTAGAGGGAACATTGGCCGTAAGCTAAGTACGAGCAGCCAGTGCGATGCGGCAACAAAAAGGGCTAATGCGATCTTGGGGTGTATCCACAGAGGCATAACATCCAAATCTCAAGATGCCATAGTCCTGCTGTACACTGCATGGGTCAGGCCGCACCTGGAGTATTGTGTGCAGTTCTGGAGGCCTCCCTTCAAAAAGTATGTGGAGAATGGGGCAGGTGCAGAGGAGAGCGACGAAGATGATCGGGGGCCTGGAGACCAAGCCCTGTTAGGAAAGGCTCAGGGACTCGGGGATGTTCAGTCTGGAGAAGAGGAGGTGGAGAAAGGACAGGATTGCTCTCCTGAAGGATTTGAAGGGCTGTCACTTGGAGGAGGAGGGTAGAGAGATGTTCCCCCTGGCAGCAGAGGAGAGGACTCGCAATAATGGGTTTAAATTAAGGGGGGGGAGAACATGCCTGCTGGATGGGTGGGGGTGCCTTATACTGAATCAGACCCTTGGTCCATCAAAGTCAGTATTATCTACTCAGACTGGCAGCAGCTCTCCAGGGTCTCAGGCAGCGGTCTTCCACATCACCTCCTGCCAGATCTTTTAACTGGAGAACTTGGGACCTTCTGCATGCCAAGCAGATACTCCACCATTGAGCCACGGCCCCTTCCCAAGTAGGTAGCGCGGGCCAGGTGGGGCATAGAGAAAGGAGCAGCAGCCATGGCTTGGATCACGGGCTTTACGGGAACACCAGCTCATACAGCAGCGGGGGCCAACGTGGGAGCGAGATTTGTCAACGGCCTCAGCCACGAGGCGCTTTTGCCAGGCGAGGAACTTCAGCCAGCCCTGCTCAACAGGAACGCCGCAATCCCCATTCATCATCCTGTCGAGAATTCAGACAGGCAGGGCTCAGCCCCTGTATGCGCTGTTTCAGCAATGTGCTTAGGCGGCGACTGGGTGTAATGCGAACTGTGGCCACAAGATGGTAGTGCGGTTTTTAGGATACTAAGCGCAAAAGCTGCAGCGGGGTGCTTTTTATTTCGACTTGCAGTCTCGCAGCTTCCAGAGAAAGATTAGAAGCTGCTTTTTGGAAAAGAGGATCTTGGAGGAAGCTGGCCTACGCGGCTCAGAGCTAGCATACCTTAAGGACCGCCTTCATCCACAGGGCCCTCCCTGTCTGCTCCGGTTGTCCTCGTGTGCCCCCCCACCCTTGGAGGCCAGAGGAGTGACAACCCAAGAAAGGGCGGTCTTTGGTCAAGGCAGCCGAGCTCTGGATCTCTCCCTCCCAAGGAAGATCCATCTGTCTCCATCTAGTCTGTCTCCGTCTATTGTTGTCTCTGCCGGCAGGCGAAGACTTTTTTCTTTAGTTTGGTTTGGCATCCCTCCAATAACTGCTATTGGCCCTCTTCTCTGATCGCGCTGTTGTTTATATGTTTTTACTAAATTGCTTTAAACGTTTTATTGTTGGGTCTTTGCAAGTGTCATGAAAGAGCCAAGCTGTTGTTTTTTATATGCAAACGTTAGCTAGTTTGCTTAGAGCCAATGAGCGGCAGAGTAGATTGAGAGCCAGTGTGGTGTAGCGGTTAGGAGCGCGGACTCTAATCTGGGAGAACCGGGTTTGATTCCCCCACTCCTTTGCGTGCTGCTGCTGGTGTGACCTTGGGTCAGTCCCAAGTTCTCTCAGAGGTGTTCTCTCACGAGCAGTCCTCGAGAGGGCTGTCTCAGCCCCACCTACCTCACAGGGTGTCTGTAGTGGGGAGGGGAAGGGGAAGGAGATTGTAAACCGCTCTGAGGCTCCTTTGGTTAGCGAAGGGCAGGGTATAAATCCAATCTCTTCTTCTTCTCTTCGTCTTCTTCCCATCAGAAAGGGGGAGGTCTTATTCTTAATGAGACTGACCATTGGCTAATCAATATACTGGAGATGGGACGTGCTATTTGGCACGTACATCCGCTTATTTATGTATTTATTTATTATATTTATGAATCGCCCCACCCCTCCTACTGCAGGGCTCTGGGCACTGTACAACCAGAGATAAAACAAGATAAAATTAATTAAAACATTAGTACAAAAAATTGGGGGGGGGACCTCCTTTCCTTTGTTCTCACTCAACAACACACAAGAGACTAATCGCCGACAAACAAGATGGAGTTGGAACTAGAAGTTTAGTTTAGACTTCATTGTTTTTTCTTCCCATGCAACCCTTCCCTAATTTTCTAGTTTTCTTAGAAGTTAAACACACACGTGTTTCTGACGCTTTATTTCCGCAGCGCTTTATGCACTCTGCTAAATATCCAACAATTAAACCAAACTTATTTTAAATGCCTTTTTAAAGTTTCCAATGTTTTCATGCTTGCCACCTTGGGGACCTTTTTTGGGCAGTAAGGCGGCCTAGAAACGTTTTAAATTGAATAAAGAAATAAAGATCAGGTTTGCTTAAAAAAGGGACACCACATATTACCCAGAATGCATTTAGTGCAACATAGGAATGTGAATTCTGCTGCAGCATCAACAATACAACATAAATATGGACACCATCAGCTATTCTTGCTCTTGTTAAGTGTGAAAAAATCACCTGGTGAACCATTATTTTCTAAGAAATTTAGGGTGTGGTCACACACACTAAATTATACACTTTCAATCCACTTCCAATGCACTTTCCAACTGGATCTTGTCAGTTCACATAGCAAAATCCAGTTGGAAAGTGCACTGAAAGTAGATTATTTTGCATGTGTGACCACAGCGAAAATGACCTTTTAGACACAGGATTTCCCATCCACAAAGAAAGAAGAAGAAGAAGAAGAAGAGATTGGATTTCTACCCCGCCCTTCACTACCCAAAGGAGTCTCAGAGCGGCTTACAAACTCCTTTCCCCTTCCCCTTCTCACAACAGACACCCTGTGAGGTAGAAGAAGAAGAAGAGATTGGATTTCTACCCCGCCCTTCACTACCCAAAGGAGTCTCAGAGCGGCTGACAAACTCCTTTCCCTTCCCCTCCCCCCAACAGACACCCGGTGAGGTAGAAGAAGAAGAAAAGATTGGATTTATACCCCGCCCTTCATTACCCAAAGGAGGCTCAGAGCGGCTTACAAACTCCTTTTTCTTCCCCTCCCCACAACAGACACCCTGTGAGGTAGGTGGGGGGCTGAGAGAGCTCTAACGGAAACTGCTCTTTTTCAAGGACAGCTCCGACAGAACTATGGCTTGCCCAAGGTCATCCAGCAGGTGCGAGGGGAGGAGTGGGGAATCAGACCCGGTTCTCCCAGATTAGAGTCCGTGCACTTAACCACTGCATTGTATGTCTACACACAGATGTCTTGCGGCAACTTAAATACTAACACTTTTAATGTAAAGACTAGCACGTTTTATTCTTAAGGCTTCAGTTTGCAAGACCTGACCAGGGTCCTTTCCGCATCGGCCTGCCACTCTGGATTTTCTCAGTGTTCAAGTCGGGGCAATTTATGTCCAGGGCAAAACAGCATCCAAGTAACCCGGGGCAACAGCAGGCTGAAACCAGGCTGACCACTGAAGGGAGGGAATGTAATGCAGGGGGGGGGGACAAAATGAAAAGAAGGTTGGACTCGATTTTAGTGTAGAATGTAGGGGAGAACTGGATTGAAAAAGAAGGCTGCATTGGATTTTAATGCAGAATGGCTTGGAGGACACTGCGGCGAACATGGATTTAAAGAAGAGTGCGGAAAGGGCCATGGGGCTGTCAACAGCCAGGGCCTTCTCGGTGGAGGCTCCATCCTGGTGGAATGAGCTTCCAGAAGAGATCAGGGCCCCCCGTGGAACCGCTTACAGTTCCGCAGGGCCTGTAAGACGGAGCTCTTCCGCCAGGCTTCTGGAGCCGCCGTCACCAATGAACATCATCAACAATTTGTAGTTGAAGGGCAGGAAGCCCTGCTGCCTCTGGAATCTATAACATCAGCCTGTGTCGGCCGCCTGTAAGACACCTGGAGTAGACCCAGGAGCCAGTTTAGAGTAGAAAGAACCAATGTGGTCGCCATCGTGATTTAGCAACAACGGTACTAGCACTTACTGTACTGTTCCAGGGCTCTTTTTGTAGAAAAAGCTCAGCAGGACCTCATTAGCATTAGGCCAAACCCAACAGCAGAAACTCATTAGCATATTAGGCCACACCCCTGACAGCACAGCACATTAGCACATTAGGCCACACCCCCATGTTACCAGAAGTGTGCTCATCCAGCCATACCCACCTTTTGCTTCTTCTTCTGTTTACCTTATTTGTTGTCAAAACCCAGGGCTTTTTTTGTAGCAGGGACTCCTTTGCATGTTAGGCCACACACCCCTGATGTAGCCAATCCTAATGAGTTCCTGCTGTTGGGTGTGGCCTGTTATGCTAATGAGTTCCTGCTGGGCGTGGCCAACTTGGAAGCCAGCCGAAACTCCGTTCCTGTGCGTTCCTGCCCAAAAATAGTCCTGCTGTTAACTGGTTTTAGCATTGTTCTAAATGTTTTAAATTGCGGTATTGCAAATACACTGGTTTTATGTAAGCCACCCTGAGCGAGCCGTGGCTGGGAGAGAGGGGTATAAATCTGAGAAATAAATAAAATAAATAAATAAATGACAGGACCTTTGGGAAGTCATTAATTCATAAAGTCACCATAAGTCAGAAGCAACTTGACAGTACTTTAACACACAACCCACAAGACTCCTATTTTCACAGGATCGTTTTACCATATGTGGTGATTATGCGACAGAGCTAAGAAATGTTGGGCAGGGACACATGAATCTGTACAAAAGGTTTTGAAATGCAATGTACCTTTTACTCCTGAAATATTTCTGTTGAACATCTTACCCGATAATTTTAAAAGCGATGACTCTTATTTGCTAATATATATAACCACCTCAGCTAGAATATTGTATGCCAAATACTGGGGGAGCCAAGAAATACCAAGTATAGAAGAATTCATTAACAAAATATTAGAAGCAGCAGAGATGGACAAACTAACCTTAACTCTGAAGGATCATACTGAAAAGTCATTTGAACACACATGGTGGAGATTTTATAAATGGTATGAGAACTATATCCATACTAAGACAGGACAAGGTATATAAAAACAAGGAGAAGAGAAGAAATAGACTTCAAGAACTTAACTTTTGACAATATTGGTTGCATTAAATCTTGGTTTACTATGAGGTGTAAGCTTTAAGTAACAGATAGTTGGCTTTAAAGTATATATTCACATAATGTAACCCCAATTTTATGTTTGTGTTTGTTATATGTTTGTGTCATGTCTGTGTCATAGAAAACATAAAAAAAATTATACCCAAAAAAAAAAAAGACTCCTATTTTCATGTTCTGTCTCTTAACACACGGAGATCTGGAAAAACTTTCTACACTGGTTCCACGGAGCAGCTCCAACCAGGGGTCATTTCGTAGAAAAAGAGATGCAGGAGCTCATTAGCATAACTCATTCGCGTAACTTATTTGCATAGGCCACACCCCCTGACATCACCGGAAGTGTGTCGGAAGGCAACACCCACCACTCAGGCTCCATTGGACTGTTTTGGATTGCTAGCTGTTGGGGGAGGGGGGACGTGCAGTGGAGGGAGAGCTTGTACCTGAATAAAACTTGGTCTTAAAGGTGCCACTGGACTGTTTTGGATTGCTAGCTATTGGAGGGAGGGAGAACGTGCAGATCTGTCCTCGCAGAGGAGGGAGAGCTTGTACCTGAATAGAACTTGGTCTTAAAGGTGCCACTGGACTGTTTTGGACCAGGGGGCCGGGGTGGGGCTCTGCAGCTTACCTGGCTTCTTCTTGCTCTGACTGAGGGCTGCTGGGACTTACTGCATGTGCCCGCCCCCTTGGTTCTTTACTGCCGGAGCTCCGCTCCCATGCGCTCCTGCGGGAAATGACCCCTGGCTCCAACTTACTTGTAGGTGATGTTAAATCCTGTCAAGTTGTAAGCAGCATCACTGAAGAAATGCAGGAGGGCATAGCCGGAGGTGGCCACGACTTCTGGGACTGTCTCGTTGCTCTCTCCCTCCGGTACAATGAGGCCACTGGAAGGAAGACAGGACGGTTGCAGTAAGATGGTAGATTTTAGCACACAGCCCAAAATGCACACAGAAAATACCCAAGAGCTGAAAACGCAGGCTTAAGAAGTTCCGTGCAGCTGCGATGGAGGCCCTGGCCAGAAGCCCAGAAAAATATACGAAAAGAAGATCAGACAGCAAATGTACGATGCCAAAAGAAAAAACTGTGCACCAAGACGCTGACGTTTCAGAATTGCTAATATACTGAAGGAGAATCAGAAAATGCAAAAGTGATTCAAAATGCTGTGTATACAACAATCGGAAATAAGAGTCCTTCAGTAAAATATATCAAATACTAAATTATTCCAAGAGTTTTTTGTTCAAACAGTTCCAAGATGTAATTAGTTCCACAGTGGTTTATTCCAACGAAGGTTCCGGATATTGATAACTTCGTCGCGATACTCTTCTTCAAGAAGTAATAACTACTGCATATTTTTCATAAGCATATTTTTCTTAAGTATCTGAGGTCTAGATGTATCGACAATCTTCTCCCATACCAAAAGTATATTATTCGTACAGATGGGCAACCAGTCACAATTTTGGGGGGAGGCTACTCCGTAACATCAACAAGCTGATATTGCCTCTCACACGTTAAAGTGCGCTTTAAACTCACACCTTAAAGTGCAACGGCGGTGTTGTTTTAGACATTTTACATCATCTGCTATGCAACTCTGTGCGCCGACAGTTTCTACAAAATTCCGTCACTAAAACAGAACTCTCACTGGCTGGGTTGACTACCGAAGATTCCCCCTCTGAAACGTTCACCAGTTTTTCACTGTGTAGCCGCAGGTCCCCAACCTTTTCCAGCATGCATAAGAACATAAGAACATAAGAGATGCCAATGTTGGATCAGGCCAAAGGCCCATCCAGTCCAACACTCTGTATCCCACAGTGGCCAGAAATACCAGTGCCATCAGGAGGTCCACCAGTGGGGCCAGGACATTAGAAGCCCTCCCACTGTTGACCCCCCCTCCCAAGCACCAAGATGACAGAGCATCACTTGCCCCAGAGTCCCTATCTATACCTTGTGGCTAATAGCCACTGATGGACCTCTGCTCCATATGCTTATCTAATTCCCTTTTGAAGACGTCCATGCTTGTAGCCGCCACCACTTCCTGTGGCAGTGAATTCCAAGTGTTAATCACTCTTTGGGCACCTTTGGAATTCTGACACACTGGGATGGGCGCAACCACCAAATGGCTGCTATAAAACGGAGGCCACGGGAGGCGGGGCCAGCCACAAAATGGCTGCTGCAGCTTACCTTCGACCACAAAGTGAAGATCCCTCTGCTGTGGCGCCAGCAGCTGCCGAAGCAAAATGTTTAAAAATCTGCACAGTCAATCAATATTTCCAGTGGCCCATCGGAAGCTCTGCTGGGCAAAAGCCGCACTTGGTCCTGCCCACTTTCTGAAAACACTTGGAGGGGGGGCAAAGAAAGTGTTGACGGGATCCACGGCCGTGGGCACGGTGATGGGGACACTAATGCAGGCCAAGGATAGGGGTGCCAGACCCCCCCCATGGGGGAGGGGCTCCCCTGCTCCCTGGCTCCACTTCTCCACCACTGATTAGCTAACCGGGCGGGGGGGGGGCTTACTGCAAAAAAAGGGGGGAGGAACACCCAACGTTTTACTGGTGTGCCTACGTGACTTCAATGTGACCTGGCTGGAAGTAATACAGGCAGGGCTCTTTTTGTAGCAGGAACTCCTTTGCATATTATGCCACACACCCCTAATGTAGCCAATCCTCCAAAAGCTTACAAAGCTCTTCTTACAGGGGCTACTGTAAGCTCTTGGAGGATTGGCTACATTAGGGGGGTGTCGCTTAATATGCAAAGGAGTTCCTGCTGCAAAAAGAGCCCTGACAGGCATGTCAGGGATGTTGGAGTGATGCTCTGGTTTCTGGGCAAAAACTCTATGGTATGACTCCGTGACCAACCCCTCTGAAGAAAGGCTGAGGGACTCTATGGTAGAGACTCCCTTGCTCCTGGTAAGCCACTCCCGTTCCCTGCCAGCTGTCAACCCTAGCCAAAGATGACGGCCACCGTTGTTTGAAATAAGGAGAAAGAGAACCGTTCTAAAACTGTGTATATTCTTAGTGGAAGCAGATACCCAACCAGGACCACTCCCAAAGGAAGATCCGTTATTTACCGTGTCCATTTATATCATATCCAGAAAAGGCAGCTTACTGCAAACAAATGCGTAAGAATAACGAGACAGGCCCTTGGGTCTGTTCTGCACATTTCCCCAAGGGTGGAGATACATGACTAAACATAAAATGCTCCTAATTATATGAGAGACAGCTAGACGTGACGAGGAATTCATTTGTCGCTTTTCACGTGTCCTATGCGTTCGTGCAGAAAGCGGGAAAAGGCCGTCTTTTCCGAAACAACTGGAGAAAGGGCTGAATCCTGCTCCCTGCCTTGACTGCCTTACCATGTGGGCGCTCCGTCGATCAAAGGCTCTCTCTCTTTCAGCCTGGTCCCAACACTAGAGAGGTGAGCCAAATCTCAAGACCTCACAGTCCCGCTGTACACTGCATTGGTCAGGCCGCACCTGGAGTATTGTGTGTGCAGTTCTGGAGGCCTCACTTCCAAAAAGATGTGGACGGAATAAGACAGGTGCAGAAGAGAGCAGTGTGTGTGAACAAGATCCTGGGGTACAGGTGGGCCGTAAGCTAAGTACGAGCAGCCGGTGCGATGCGGCGACAAAAAAGGCTAATGCGATCTTGGGTTGTATCCACAGAGGTATAACATCCAAATCTCAAGATGTCATAGTCCTGCTGTACACTGCATGGGTCAGGCCACACCTGGAGTATTGTGAGCAGTTCTGTAGGACTCCCTTCAAAAAGTATGTGGAGAATGGGGCAGGTGCAGAGGAGAGCGACGAAGATGATCGGGGGCCTGGAGACCGAGCCCTGTGAGGAAAGGCTCAGGGACTCGGGGATGTTCAGTCTGGAGAAGAGGAGGTGGAGAAAGGACAGGATGGCTCTCCTGAAGGATTTGAAGGGCTGTCACTTGGAGGAGGGCAGGGAGCTGTTCCTGTTGGCAGCAGAGGAGAGGACTCGCAAGAAGGGGTTTAAATTAAGGGGGGGGGACATGCCTGCTGGATGCGGGGGTTGCCTTATACTGAATCAGACCCTTGTTGCATCAAAGTCAGTATTGTCTACTCAGACTGGCAGCAGCTCTCGAGGGTCTCAGGCAGCGGTCTTCCACATCACCTCCTGCCGGATCTTTTAACTGGAGAACCTGGGACCTTCTGCATGCCAAGCAGATACTCTACCATTGAGCCACGGCCCCTCCCCAAGTAAGAGTTCAGCAGTGGAACTGACTGCCTCGTGAGGCAGTGAGCTCCCCCTCCCTATCAGTCTTCAAGCCACGGTTGGACGAACACTTGTCAGGGTTACTCTAGGCCAGTGATGGCGAACCTTTTAGAGACCGAGTGCCCAAACTGTGACCGAAAGGACCAAGATCACCTGCGTATCCAAGGGAAGAACTGGGAAACGAATCACATGCGTTCCATCAGATTAGTTCTGTGTTCAAGGCCACCTGAAATTACATTTTGACCGTTCTTGGAAGGGATCCTTAGATGCCATCTAGTCCAACCCCACTGCTCAGTGCAGGATCAGCCTAGAGCAGTGATGGGGTACCTTTTATTTTTTTTTTGTAAAGATTTTATTAGCTCCCCTAAAAAGGGGAGGTATTTCGCTTAAAAGAAAAAAAAAGGGAAGGGTAGACAGCGGGAGAAAGAGAAAGCTGAGTGATATATAAACTGGTAAATTAAACTGTTAGTAATGTCCAATTAATCTTCTTGGGCTTCTTCTGTGTGTTGTCAAACTTCTTTTCTTAGTCCAGTCACATATAATTCTCTGTTAGTGTGTTAGTAATGTTCCCTTGAGTTTCTGTTAATGTTCCCTTGAGTTCCCTTGAGTTTCTGTTAATAAAAAAAGAAAAAATCTCTTCTGGACACAGTCAGAACCGCTTCTTTGCGTGTTGGGCACTTTTACTATCGCTGACGTGCAGGGGCTTCCTCTGTTGTCTTCTACTTCCGGCTTGTTAAATCCTCCTTCGGGTTGCTGTTAACATACTCAGTTCATGCACTATAAATCCTCTTCCTTTCATGCCTTGGAGGTCCCCAACTTTGAGAATGGTATTAATTTCATTTCGCTTTTATTTCCGCTCCCAAACTCTCTATTGGGTCCT